ATAGTAAATTCAAAGTCATTATGAACATTTGGGATTTTACTAGCTCTTCTGGGGAATTAAAAAAGGACTGCATTTTATAACTTCAGGGTTTTATAGAAAAGTTCTTAAAATGTAGTCTAGAGTCAGAACAAAAATGGTATGATACAGTCATACTTCCTTTTTGTAAATAAAAGTTGAGGAGCAGATTTTTGTGGCTACAACTTATTCAATCCAATTCAATTCAGTTTATTTACATAGCACCAATTCACAACACATGTTATCTCAAGGCACTGACGTATGAAAAAAAGTCAATTTTGTATAAATTATGAGGACGCTGAAGCACGCTGACAAATGTTGACATACGGCGTGCCAGGGTATGCTCATATCAGGGCCATAAGTTACAGGTAAGTTATGTGATGGTTGACATATGTTAAGTGTATGTTACTCATAAGTTGTGGTCTTTAGCTTATCCAAAATCTATGAGTAACTTGTGCATAAATTAAAAGAACGTATACCAAACGCATATCAATGTTTTGGACGAATTCCACACAACCACTGAGCATGTTTCTAACTTACAGCTACTGTATAATGGCGTTTGGGTATAAAAGGAGGTTCACAGGAGGAAAAATTTTGTATTCCTGCAGACTGCATTCCCATCATAGGGTAAATGAGAAGGTGAGTGTGATGGATCCTCCCTACATTCACGGCCACCTCCAAGACCAACAAACTTAATAGCAGACATGACCCTGAATCTGCTGCGACTGCAAACTTTCTTTCTTTCTTTTTTCATTTTATTGATTTATTTATTTTATTTTTTTGCGGGCAGTAAACAGCAGCTAGGTTAATACCGTGATCAAAGAAATCTTTTTATGACGGCCGGGCACCTCTGTGTGCATCACTGGCCTCACAGGACACTGGCTTGTGCATCATTTCATGGGCAGTATGCTGCCGTGCGTTATGCATAAGTTAGATTGGACGTAAGTTTTGGACTTGTTATGAATACGCTATGTATACGCCCAAAATACATAGAAAGTTCCACATATGCCAGCATTTAAGAATATTCTGGGATGTCAGGCATATGCAGGCTTTTTTTTTAGGTCTTTATTATTAAATCAAATTATATTGGTGCATAGATAATTAAACATTATTGGTGCTGGATTCAGAGTACCAACAGCAGCACATTCATGTGCGCTCTATAAAAATATAGAATATATAAATGTATGTTAAATGGAGCCTGATAATAAAAATCTTTTATTTTATCCCCAACTCTGGCAAGGAGAAAAGACAAGAGTCTGTTAATTTTGAATAAAAGCACAGTGTGACAGTACTGGCAGGACATAAGAGAGATGAGTAATGAAACAAGCTCACTAGATAGATAAAGAAAGGGAGAGACAGCAGAGTTTTCTGATTTTGCGAAGACATTAATCACAGAACACAGCTGAAAATCAAATATTTGATTAAATAATCAAATCAAAAGATCCAAAGAAAGAAGACTCAATGGTAAATTCATTATATATAAACTGCAAAAGGTACATTACCAGTGTCTGTTTAAAACTTATTCAGATAGGCTGACTCAGGATAGAAGTTCACTCATTAACACAGAAAATTAAGATATGGGACATCATATTTAAACATTAAGCATGGTAAATCAAATAACATAATTCTTCCTACTGACCCTATAGTTCAGTTAGCCAACCAAGAAGAAACACAGTTTACCAAAAGCAAGAACAACTCATGTTATATAAAAAAAAAGAGTAACCCAAAAGGGGGTAAGGTTAACAAATGTGAATGTAATCCTGGACCAACAAGAATAGTCTGTAATCCACCTTAATTCGGGCAAGATGTTTAGTCATAAAGGACTGGATGTTTTTCAGTGGCCATATCTGTTCAAGGTTTCCCTTCCTAAAAGTACTTTGCAAAGATTACCTTAAAATATAATCGAGCAAAACATTTTTAATGTTAAGTTTGAACACAAATACAAATGTTCTCCTTCTAAATGTTACTTGCACTGTATACTTAGAGGTAATGTAACTATCATTATGGAGATTTCTTGTTGAATACCATTAAGATTAAACCTTCCCTTTAAATTTCCTACAATTATTGGTAAAACATGCATTGTCAAACTTCATAAATACTGCATTTAAAATACTGCATTCAATGCAGCTTAATAAGTACTTATCAAACTAAATTAAAATGTGCTACAATGTGCCTGATTTCATGAGCAGTTTGCACATTAATCAGCTATGGAGCCTGCAGTCCCCCTCTGTTCAGGAGCAGAACGATGCTGCCTGTCAGTCTCTATGAGAAATCCCTGTTGAGGTCTGAGCCTCGGTCTATTGAGGTAAGCAATGAGAAAGTAGAGCCCTGATTGGATAACACACTAAAATACGTCACTTCCACTGAGGCTGAACCTCTTAGGGGGTCTATGTACTGTAGTTGGGGCGGGTAGTGAAGCTGGCTACTCCATGCTGATTGGCAAACATCCTAAAAGATTTTTGACAGACAGTGTTTAGACAGCAAGGAGGAGAAAGGGATCATTTATTCAGAACAGTCCTCTTGTGCTGAACTCCTGCCTTAGTTTCTGAAATTTATTATTCCAGAGTGCTTCATCAACGCTATTATCACCCGTTGCAGTAACGTGTTTTATGTGTTTCAACAGTTGTTAAAAGTGACGTTTGGATTTAATTAACATCACTGAGCCTCCCCTGTTTCAGAGGAGCAGATTCAGCTGGTATCTATGTAATTGATTTTTTTTGTCTGTCCTATCTGTTCATGAACAGGTGTCTATAAACATTTTTAAAGTTCCCCTGACCTGACATCTCCAAGAGGAAGGCAAGGTACTGTAAGGTAATTCAACTGGAATAAAACCTAAAAAATGGTCTGGATATTGGCTGAATAGCAATACATTTGCAGTAAACAATATGCCGGTTTCAGGTTGTATTGGAATATAATGGAATTGGTGATCCAATCAGAATTAATAATGTATCAGACACAGAAATAAAGGGAGATACTTGTCAATAGAATACTATGCCCTAAATAGTATCAATAAAACAACAACAAACGGCAAAAGGCAAATTTTGTCCAAACGGAAACTTCCAAAACTTAAAAGGCAAAACACGAAACTAATCCACTTAAAGATGATAAATAATACACATATTCTGTTCAAAGGTCACCAGCTGCCTAAAATCACAAAGGTTGCTTTACTTAGCTATGGTCGGTTCAAAATTAGGTTAAACATTAAACAGAAGAACAGCTATCGGTGTGAAGGAAACTTGTTGAGAGGAGCAGTGGCAGCAGAAAACATTATCAAGTGGCAGTATGTGTACACAGCATGAAGCCATTACTCTGAATCTTCACAGTGGTAAGCCATTCATCTTCCTCTTACTTGCATCTGCTTTCTCACTCAGTTCATCTGATTTCTCCATAAAGAATTATTATCAACATTTTATTATTTGGGAGAAAGGGTTGCAACAACTTTTTAAGTTTTCTTTTCTATTCTTGAAAAAAATATATAAATAAATAAGTGTCCTTAATCGCCACGGAAAACACAGACAAAATAAATGTATTACATTAGATATATAAAAAAATGCTGTTTAGTCTTAATGGCTTATTACATGAAAACACAAAGATAGAGCAATGTCCAAACAAACCTTCAACAGCAACCATGTGGGTGTTTTGGCAAGAGATTTGCAACAAAACACTTGATGAAAAGACAAAAAAATGAGGTGGCTGAGCTTATGGTTACATTTAGAAAAAAATTAATGTATATAATCTGTAACCTAATCTGTAAATAATATATCACCTACTTAAAGGGCTTATTTTGTTGTGTTTTCTGGTTATTTTCAGTTTTCAGGTTTTTATTTGTTGTCCTCTGCTGTCCTCCTGTGTTCCCCTTTTTCCCTAGCTCCTTTCCTGTTCTGCTCACACCTGCTTCCAATCTGCTCGTTAGCCCTCTCTTTGTTTCAGTCTCTCATAAATACTCTCTCTGTGCAGTTCTTCAGTGCTGGTTCCTTATCTAACTTCCTCCAACGCTGTCTCTCTGAGCCTTCCTCCTCGTGATAGAATCCCCCCTGATGTCTCCATGATTTCTGGTTTGTTTTGACTTTGTTTTCATGTTTTGATTTTTGGATTCCTGCTTTCCGGTTTGTTTGGACTTTGTTTCATGTTGGACTTTTGGATTTCCTGCCTCTGGTTTTTGTTAACCTTTCATTAAACCCACAAGAAAATTACCTCTGCCTCCCTGCCTTTGCATTTGGGTCAACAAACCACAACCAAATCCTGACAGAGGTGAAGATAATGGGAACCAATGTTAAATGTTATGCTGCTTGATTAAAAAATAAATAAAAAAATAAATAAAAAAAGGCATTGCAGATGTTGCAGAGGGAAAGATCTCTACTTTGTAATAGGTTACCTTCCTGATATTTGTGCAAAGTTATTTAAAATGAAATTATTTGTTAAACAGCATTTGGTTCAGTGCTACCCGCCAAGCGTCAGGTACAGTATCACATGAGCACACTCACACCAGGATGTAATTACCCATTAGTTTATCCCCTGTATTTCATGTAACTAGAAGCAAGTCTGTTAATTTTATATAGACTATAATTAATAATTTCACAGTCTGAAACTTTTTAAACTTCATTTAAAATGTTAGGGGATGACAGTGGCATTGGATGTAGGAGTTCCTGAAACTAAAGGGTTGTCGGTTTAATCCCTGGTTCCGTCTTTCAATATCGTTGTGTCCTTGGGCAAGACACTTTACCTGACTTGCCCTGTGATGGTGGTCAGAGGGCCTGGTGCGTCTGTGTACAACATCCTCAGTTCTACAGTGTAGCTCTGCATCATCAGTGTGTGAGTGTTTGCATGAATCAATGAATGAATGAATATAGTATAAAGCGCTTTGATCAAGTTTCCTGACTTGACTATATAAGTACAGACCAAAATAGATATTTATTTATTTAATAAAAGACTATATTAGATTTGTTTTGTATTTAGGAACAAGCTGCACATAGTTTACTGCTTACCACATAGAGCTGCTTCCATAGTAAAGCCCATTCCTGAAGAGTTGATGTCACCTCTGTTACAATTGGGTCTTCCAGAGGCACCACAGACTCATGAGGCCTAAACAAAAATAAAAAAGAAAGCACACATTTTATTAACCGCCAAGTATTTAAGCAATTATTTATCAAATGTATCATCAAAAGCCTAGAATATCCCCCAAAAAAGCTTTTGTTATCATTTAGAGAAAACCAACAAAGAACTTATACATGGAACTTGATTTTTTTTATGCTCTATGAGAAGGAGAATTTATGCAGAATGGACAATAATCTGAAACGTGCCTTGTCCAACAGTTTTGGTTTTAATTGATGGTTTTTTAATTAGAAATAACAGACACTTTTTCTAACAAGTACAGCTCATTAAAGCGTTATCTTCCTGGGTTGTTTCTTGTATTTGTGCATATATGGCAGACTCAAAATGTGCTTATAGAAAAATTTGACATTTGTCCATTTTCTTTCTTGTTCTAAGTTGTATAATGGTGAAGAACCTGGTTCATCTCAAGAAGGAGAAATTAAACAATAGAATATTTCTATATAGAGGTATATATATATAAGGTTTTAAAATGAAATGGTATAAAGAAAAGACCTTCAAAACACTGAAAATACTGATTTTATAAAGTATTTTATGTGTAGTACTTTTGCTACATAACTATTAAGAGATTAAAAATTTAAACTCTCTAAACACTCAAAAGAAATTTCGGTTGCACCTTAATTTATTTGTTGCCAGTTATTTGATTCAAACCCGGCCACTTCTTTTTTTTAGTTTTTTAGTTTGAAACCCTAAATAAATTAAGTTGGCCAAGCTTAATTAAATTACTTGTTGCCAAATTATTTGGAGATGCCTTTTCTTTTTTAGGGAGCAGAGGAAGAAAACCTCACTTCACCTCTTAACATTACCATAAAGCTTAACCTTTTTAAATTTCATTTAATCTTTATTTCACTTTGCAAATGTTGTGGTTCCCAGAGGGTGTGGGAATAAAACTAAGTTTACTCACAGTTTCAGTCTCTAAGTCAGAAATATTAATGCACATATATGTTCTCTGCTATAGATGCCCCCCCCTTCCATTCATGTACTTTTCTTACAGTGTGTTCCAATCCCTCTGCCAGCTCTTTCTTCCCCCGTTTCATAACGGTTTAATTAAAAGGAGTAATGTACGAGATTAGCTGATCTCCGTGCTGAACAGCAGACGATAACTGCTTACTGAGTTCACCAACAGCAGCTGTATTTCAGAAGCTCCCACTGCTTTTCTATTCTTCATTTTGTCCTTTTGCCTTCACTTCAGTACCTTCTGTTGCTCTTCTTCAAGTTCCCTTATCTTGTAACTTCACTTTAACAAACACCACTAACACAAACTCCTTGTTATGATTACTGCCGTATAGATGATGTATAAAATGAGGATGGACCATCATTTATCCTTTGCTTATCCCAACAAGCCAAAACTTTACTTCAACCCTCTTTAAACAGCTTTATATATCTAAGATAATTTTATTTTGTTCGGAGTTTTACACCCTGCCAATCAAAAGTAACATATAAAAAGGAAACATAAATGATTGAGAAAATAAAACATACAGTGGGCTGGCCAACCCTCAGCAGACACTCATGTTGACCCAGTTTCTTTTTACATTTTATACCCTTACTTTAGCTGCATCTTTCCTTTTCTTGGTACAACGTTCTAATCCAATGATTATTTCAGATCTTATTTTTTTGTTCCTGTCTCCATTCATGTTTGTTCTCATGTATTCCTCATATTCTTTCCATACATGTACCTTATCAAGCCCTCTGATTGTGCATCATGTCTCTTCTCAGTTATGATACAGGCTACAGTACCATGACCGTCCTCCATCAATATCTGTTGTTGCTTTGCTAGATATTTACAGATCCTATATATACTTTTGTGTCTCCATTCAAACTATCAAGTAATGTAAAATACTATTTTTTTATATTTGCTTCAAAATATATGCAAAAACTCTTGCAACTTTAAAAGCATTTAATGCTTTGCCTGTTGATTGGTTCACTTAAATTTTTTTTTAGTTTTATTAATACTAGATATATATTATTTAAAGATTTTTTTTTCCTTATTCATATTTCATGATAAATAATCTTGGTACTCTTTGAATCAAAATTAAATTCTGATTTCAGTATAATGTAGCTGCATTCAGTCTCCTTAGACTCACTGATCTGTGCTTATAGAACCTTTGCGGTTCCGTCAAAAAGTTTGGACAACTAAACCTGACTTGCACTGTCAATAACTGTAAGCTTTTCACATACACAGTGTGTTTCACCCCTGACAAATCACACCATCCTGCTGCTGAAGGTTCCTGACAGACCAAACACACATTTCTACCTCCAGCTATGACAGCAAAACCTTCTTCTGCCCAAACACTCTGCTCCTGCTTCTAAATGCTCTCCAGGTCAGTTCTAAGAACAGCTTCTGTATTTTTATTACATAAATGTTCTTCAATAAAAACTAGTGTAACATTTATCCACTGACCTCCTACACCTGGCCTTTCAAACTGTATAAAAACACATCACTTATATGGCTTCATCAACATTACTCAGCACATGACTTGAAAAAGAAATAGCTTTAGACATTCGGTTGTTATTTTTATTGATTTTACTTTGTTTAAAGAAAAATGCACGGCATTCATTGTGTTGTGTATTTATTCTCTACTGTGTTGGTTCTGGTATGGTTAGACCAAACCTGTATCACTCAGAGCGGCTACTTTAACAGTTTGTAACAACTTAAAGACATTTTACTGTCATTAAATAAGAATAAAACTTAAATTCAAATTCTGAAACAGTTATTTCAATAAAATTTTAGAGCTCTCCAGATTTCTGTCTAAAATTGATCTCTTTCATTAGAATAGAATAGAATAGAAAAGAATAGAATAGAATAGAAAATCCCTTTATTGCCCGAGAATG